TTCTTCATTTTTCTCTCAAATGACTAACATGAACCTCTTATGAAGATCTGGGAGAGCCTGTTTGGTTTATGCTTAGTAGTGCTTTAGTTATATGAATTTTGGAGGTGTTTGTGACTGGTCTTTTGGAGGCTTTATAAATGTTTGGTTGAGTGTTATGTTCTTGTGAGGTAGAGATTTTGGTCCTTTTTTTTTGGGTTGTCCAGTGATCATGTTAAAAGGACTCTCCTTTTCTCTTTTCAAATTTAAGTAGCAAATATGCGAGTAAAAATATTAAGATGTTAGTTGGATTGCTTTGCTTCTTTAGTAGTCATTTATCGCATTTGCTTGCAAAAGACATAGTGAGACTGGAGCTGTTTTCATATTCTTCTCCAGAGGACATTGTTGCTGGCATCTGTTTTGTTGGCGAACTAGAGAAGATGTTGATCTATTATTGGTGCAAATCTTAATCTTTTATTGTGTATTTTTTCTAACTTATCGTCTACCAATATCTGAAGTTGAAGAGTATTACTTACATGGTTTTGTTATAAAAGCTTGTGAGACGTTTCCAGTATGAGTCTTTAGCATCTATGCGGGTTTGTAGTCATTGTGTAATTTGGTTTTGTTGCATTTGACTTTCATTTTCATGAAATATTATCAACAAAATCTTTTTCCCTAATGTTGCAAATCTTCTTAGATGGGCTTCGGCGAGAAGAAGTGGAATGACTGTTCTGGGAAAAGTTGCTGTCCCAAAACCTATAAACCTACCGAGTCAAAGGTATTTATTTTCTTCGTGGTGATTTTATATTGGTTATTATCTTCAACTTCATACTTTGCTTGGTTCCCTGCTATCAACATTCATCTTTTCTCTCTGCTGTTTTAAGGTTAGAAAATCATGGTTTGGACCCAAATGTGGAAATTGTTCCCAAGTAAGTAACATCCTTGAGTATTTCTGCTTATTCATATAGTCTCTCTCTTCTTCGCTTTCCCCACCTCAACCCAATAGATTATGTTAATTTTCTTACATAGCATAAATTTGCACTTCTCTCTTGATAGATAATGAGTTTTTCCCACATTTTGTAGGGGGACTCTTGGCTGGGGTAGCAAAACATCTTCATCAGCAACAAACGCATGGGGCTCTTCCACACTGTCACCACATGCTGATAGTGGTACTGGCTCTCCCAGCCATCTTACTGGCCGCCCTTCATCTGGTGGAAGTGGCACTCGGCCATCAACTGCTGGTAGTGATAGAGCACATGAACCTGTTGCTAATGTATGGGGTTCAAATTCTAGACCATCATCAGCTTCTGGGTCATTGACATCTAACCAGACGTCAGCATCATTACGACCTCGCAGTGCAGAAACAAGACCCGGCAGCTCTCAGCTCTCTCGATTTGCCGAACCCTTGTCTGAGAATTCAGTGGCATGGGCTGGAGCTGCTACAGCAGAGAAGTTGGTATGATTCTTGGTTTTCCATATCTTACATAATGCATTTTTCTTTATTGTTTAGCATGTTTGTGAAATTTTTTTATGCACTTACTGCTACACATCTTACTGAAATGAAGTCTGCCAACACTTCCTTCCTACCTTTTCATTTTCTTTTGGTTCTTTTGGGCTCAGAAAATTTAACTAATTTAAGTTCCTGTTGTTTTATATTGGAGATTGATGGCTTATGGTTCTTGCTATGTGGTGGATGCACATGGCACTTTTTGTGGGTAACAAAGCATGCATGTGTTTGCAATCATTTGTGATCATTTTACGGAAAAAAATAAACAAGTTCCGATCATCAGTAGGTTAAGAACTGCTGGTTCTGTTCATTCTTTATGTGGCTGCAAATTACAACAGCTGTTTATGGAAGCACTGCATTCTGAACACTGCTTTAGATGCCATATCAACATGCTGGCTGGAGTCTTTGAGTTCTTTGAGTTGTTAATGGTCCTGATGGTCTACTAAATGTGAGACATGTTCTTGTTAATGCAGGGAGTGATATCCTCCAAGAACGAGGGGTTTTCTTTGATTTCTGGAGATTTTCCTACACTTGGCTCTGAAAAAGACTGTTCTGGGAAGAACACAGAATCACAAGGTCTCATGAGTAAAGATTACTGACCTGACTGCTTTCTGATGTCGTATTACTGGATTTTGATGTTTGGTTCTCTTTTGAGTGGTGCAGTTACTGGATTCTTTTATTTTTTTTCTCGCCTCAACATGTGGTATCATTATTTTCTCAAAGTTTTAATTTTTAGCTGCCCAATCACCTTTAGTTCTATCAAGGTTTCTTTTCTCATCCGTTGTCTTCTTTTTTTTCTTCTTGAGGAACTGATGGCTGCCTTTTTGGATATAACAAGTCGACGGATTTTTCTTTTTCCTTTTTTAATTTGATAGAAAAAGTTCTATAGGAATCTGTTGATTCCGTATGGTCCCCATTATTAATACATTTACATACCTTCTCTTGAAGGGAATAGTGTTTTTGATTGGCATAGGGTATTTTCGCTATTTTAGTTGTTGCTTATTGATCCTTCAATATGGATAACTGTTCTTCTCCGGGACATAATTACAAAAGAATTTGATTGCTTTTGATGCGTGACGGAGAAAATAAGTTATACTCTGTATCAGTAATTATTGATATTTTTAAAGGCTATTTAAAAGCATTGGTCTAGCTCAATTGCTATATTTGTTACTGTATGACAGTCAACACTTTCAGGTACATGACGAACTATTTAATTGCAGATAATGGTCGGCATGCCTGTTCTGGGTCATCTGGCGGAGTAGCAGCTGCGAAAGAAAGGACGGGGACTTCTGTAGCAGGTTGTACTAATGTCTTTTGTTTCATGTTTAATCGAGATGCTATAATTTCTTTCTCCACTAGATAAGTCTTCTGTCCTATTGATGTTTTCTTATTATGAACTTTCTTAACTCCTATCCTTCTACCTTTCTACTTGTGTTAAAATTTCCCATTTCAGGTGATGTTTTGGTAAATTCAAATTCAAGCAGTGCAACTGCAAACTCATGGAGAAGAGATAATCATCCTTACAGCGAAGATGGAGTATGGCCTAATGTGGAAAAGTGGCAAGTAGATCCCCAAGGCCCACAACCATATCCAAATGCTAGCATTCCGCCTCCACATTATGATACTTGGCGTGGTCCTCCAATAAATCATCCAGGTGGGGTTTGGTATAGAGGACCACCTGGAGGTCCTCCATATGGTCACCCTGTTGGCCCCGGGGGCTTTCCTAT